AAAAAAAAAAAAAAAATTAAAATTTCTATCTTGTAGAAATTTGATGATTTTTCTTATTTTTATTAAATTTGTATTCGAGTATTTTTATTATTTTTTTTATGGTCATGATATTTAAGAAGAGTATATATAATTGATTTTGAGTTTTGAAACCTTAACTCAATATGAAATTTGAGTTTAGATATCTTGAGTAACATATCATATGTAATTAATTAGGACCCAAGCTTCAAAATCATTATTGTATATATTCATTTTTTTAATTGACAACTTGGCAAAAGGTTTATATTAATTACCACATTGGTTCAAACTTCTAAACTTCAAAATTTAACCATAAATGTTTGAATTTACAGACCATTATATTATATGCACACTAGTAAAAACCTAGCTACTCTAAGGTGAGAAATTTTCAAAGTTGAAGCTATTTTGGACAAACGGAGTTGTTCAAAGGAAATTAAAATATCCAGCCAAATCAACGTCGTCTCTATCCAATTCGATTTATTGTTGAAATTTGATACAACGAGGTTTTAATTTAATTACATATCCCCTTCCCCTCTTCTATGTATAATTCTCGAATACGCTGAGCCTACGTGGCTACTTCTGGTGCTTCGAAATCCTACTTGGCGAAAAGTCATGCTTCGTAATTATGTTTGGACAAACAATATTGATATATCAATAATTAATAATCTAGGTTCGAACATTTCATAAATATTATTTAGCTAACTTAGGTATTTTAATATCACTTGTACTAATATAACCCTTTAATTCTTTGTAAGTTGACATAGTGAGACAATAAGTGACTAATATATCCCTGACTTTTGATTTGCTTTCTTTAATTAGCTATTGAATTTTAAATGTATTTTAAAAGTTGATAACTTTTATATTTCTTATCGGTTTTACATATATAATATATGAAATTAATCATCTTTTGATGATCTTCGATTTGACATCTATATTGTCTATATTAAATAAATAAGTTATTTTTATCTTTATAATAATAAAAAAATAATAATATTTATTCAAATTCATTATAAATATAAAATTATTTCTCAATTGATATATTTATATTATAATGTAGTTATATGTTCTAAGTTAAAAAAAATATTATAACACAGGTAAGTCGTACAAATTAAAAAAATGTCATACTAAATATATAATAATATATATATTTAAAAAAGGTATTTAAATTTTCAATTATCTTTCCTCATTAATTTTATAGTTTAAGAAAAAAATTAGCAAGCACCCGTGTAATACACGGGGCGTTGTACTAGTATATATATAAAGAATAAAAAACTACGCAATCACTTGTTTCTTCAATAGTTTTTTCCATTAATAATTAATTACGTTTCAACTATTTGTTCATTGTTTTGTTGAACTTCTGATTAATTAATTGTGTACTGCATGTATTGTTCTTTCATAAATTTTCAATTTATTACTAATTGTAGTGAGTTTAACGAGTTTTTTTTTAATTATTAATTCGCTTATGATTGAAAAGTGTTCAACATTAATTGTGTATATTTCGAAATGTTTTGCTTAGAAACTCTTACAAACGCTTCAATTTGCTCATGTCCAACATTATTGCTCCATAACATTGTCCAGTTAATATTCATTTATTTTTCATGGATATTCAAAGGAGAGTACATGTTTTTAATCAAAGGCTGACAAAATCATACTTAAATTAAACTACTTCAAATCTAATGGAGGTATAATAAAATACTCAACGCATATATTAATATTATCCCCCATTCATAAAACTCAAACCCAAACATCCCATCATATTTTCCGGTGAATTTCCGGCTAATCCTCGAGGAATTTGTACGTTTCGAACCGAGCCATGCAACTCCCGCCAATGTACCTCGATCCCACGGTGGAGGTTTCTGCCGTAAAACCTGGGAGCTCGTGTATGGCCTCGACTAGGCATTTCTTGCACGTTTTTCCTGAGAGGTCCGAGGTGCATTGGACCATGGCGTATACAGTTGCATTCTCCCCAACCGCAAACTTGTGCCCCTTAGCATATAGTTTACTCGTTTTTGCAGCTTTTGTGGTAAGGCCGCCAAGCAACTCCCGAACCGTCTTATTGAATCCGATGGGGTCGGTCGCGTTGTCCACGTTGTACCACAATGCCTTGTTCTCGTTGTCGATTTCTCCGAAGAATTTCTGGTCCGAGTATTTCATCATGCAATAGTCGTACCTATCGACAAATTATTTAAAGAATTATTCGCCTTTTGTTGTTGTTGGGGAAAAAAACTGCGAAACTAATCACGATATATATGCTTCAATTGCACAACTTTTTAAAATTGACAATTTAAGAATCAATTTTTATGATTATTTAAGAAATTGAATGATTGAATAATTTATGAGAACTTTCAAAGCAAAACAATGAGTACTAGTAATTAATCATGTACATATGCACATATGCAAATAAAAATAAATTATATGTACGAGCATTTTATTTACAATCACAAAATAAATAATATACATATGGCATTCTATAAATTTGATCATTAGACAATATATTTATACTATTTTACTTATATATATATATAATTTAATGATTAAAATAGTTTTACAAATTTAAAAGATCATGAACAATCAATTAATTAAAAAAAATACTAAATCACTATTATTATAAAAAAAAAATGTTTTTCAATTTAGGGGGTTTCATTTGCTATGCCATTAAAATAATTAGTTATTAAAAAAATTTAATGCGATAAAAATAAAATAAAACAATAATTTAATGAAAATGTATATATATAATTATTAAGTGTACCAAACGATGGCGGTGTGGTTGTAACAACGTTGGGTGATCTTGCACCGGGCGTCGTAGAGGCAAAAGTCGCAGTAATCGGACGAGACATCTCCTCGGCAGAGGGCAAGCCCGTAGACCGGGCCAAAAGTAGCTTTCGAGAACCCGTCTTGTTTGGGGGTCTGGTCAAACATGTTGTTCAAAAGGGTCTTCAGATTCTTTGAGAAGGCGTCGTTTTTGGTGTAGTTCGATGTGGGATCGCAACGCTTGTCCACGAAATCGCTCTGCTGGCAACTGACAATCTTGATCATGAGAAGGAAAGCCATGAAAATTTGAAGGAGGAATAGTGAGTCATCCATGTTTTGTTTTTTTTTTTT